AGAAAAAAAATCATTTTACTTAAGTTTTGAATTTGGTTTTGGTGTGTTTTTCTATATCTAAAATACTGTTTTGTTGGTGAAGTAAGTATATTTAATTCTGAAATTTGTTGATATATATAGATAATATGAGATCATAAAATTTTTAATAATGATTTCTTAAGTTTTAGCTTAAATATGATAAAAAAAAAATCACACTTAAATACGGAATATAAATTGAAGAGAGGAAAATATAAAACTTGTATTAATTATTGCAGTTTAGACTTTTAATTACATGTTTTGATTTTTGGGTGATGTATATTTCTTTTGCTACAATTTCTGACAACAATATATAATATGCATTGTTTTACAACCAGATTTATTCTTCCCGGATTTATACCTGTTGGATACTAATTTTATACTTTTTTATTTTTTGTCTTTGTTCTAAAATACCAAGTTGGATACCAAGTGTATATAAGTTGGATAAAACATTAACTTGTTTTAGATTGTCTAATTTGGTTAAAATATCAGTTACATTTTGTTTTTTTCATTTTCAAGTGGGATATCTGTTGGATACCAATTTAATACAACATTAACTTGTTTAGGTTGTCTAATTTGATTGAAATCTCAACCACATGTTGATTTTTTAATTTTCCAATGGGATATCAATTCAATACTAAATTTATACAAATTAGATACAATGTTAACTAGTTTTACGTTGGCTATTTCAGTTGAAATCTCAATTACATGTTTTTTTTTTCAATTTTACCACTGGGACGTCAGTTGGATACCAAATGTATACCAATTTCATACTAAGATTTGACTTAATTTTTCCAGTCAATATCAATCGCATACAAACATCACCTATTTTTTTAGTATACATTTGAAAAACACTGAATACACAAATGATTAACCAGCACACATAATAAATATTCTGAAATTATAATTCATTAACTTAAAAGACAAAATAAATCTAAACATGAGTTTGCCACAATAAAACAACCAAATCAAATCAAAATAAATTATGTCTTTTTTTTAGAAGGGTAATTTGAACATGTCTTCCTATTGTGTTCATCCTGACATGTATTGTACGTAATCTTAGACCTCTTGAATTTCACATCAGCAAACCATGTACAAGTTGTGGTCTCCCTACAGTTCTTTTTGAACTAGACGACAATAATTTCTGCTCCGACACTTTTTGAATTGCATATTTTTCTGTTTCATCATAAATTATTGTGTCAATATTATATCATACAAAAGTACAAATAACTTTTATACATATGTTATATCAATAAACAAATTTCATACCATTTTTATGCTTACAAAATTCATACAAAAGTAAAAATACATATGTTATTTTAAAACAATTTCATATGTTATTACATAATACAAAAGTAAAAACACATATGTTATATCAGTATACAAATTTCATACAATTCTTATTCACACATTTCTTACCTATTTCATGCCAAAAGTTATCAATTATTCATACCAGGATCATGCCACTAGAATACCAAAATAATTCCAACTTAGAAATATTAATTGTCATTTCTTTAATAAACAGTATACCAAATTCATTATATTATTATTCTCAAAATCATTACAATATAATGCCAAAAAAAAATCCAATCAAACCAAAAATCGTACCAAAACATTATCGATTGTCATACATGCTTGGTAGTATAAGTATACAAATTCCAAAGAAAAAATTATCTATTTTTTTAACCAAAAATATACCAAAGAAAAATGCGTTAGACAAATAATGAACAAATTCAATGTTCATACCAAAGTATAACATTATACATTTTTTAAAAAAGAGTCATAATTCAAATTATTATACACAACAAAAAATCTGAAATAAGTATACAAATTTCATATAATTATTATGCACATTTTTCATACCTATTTCATGCCAAAATTATACCTATTTCATGATATAAGTTGTCACTTTTTCACAGTAGAATCATGCCACTATAATATCAAAATAATACCACTTTTAACTATTAATTGTCATTTATTAGACAAATAGTATACGAAATTAATATCAAAATAATACCACTTTTAACTATTAATTGTCATTTATTAGACAAATAGTATACGAAATTCATTCAAAAATAATTCTAAAATCGTACCAACATGGTATAACCAATATACCCAATTCAAATAAATTTTATGTAATTTTTTAACCAGAAACATACAAAAAAATGAATGTTCAAACAAAAATCTATACCAATTTCAAACAAATTTTATGTAATTTCAAAAGTGAATATTCATACCAAAAACGCCATAATTAAAACTATTATTCACAAACAAAATCTGATTTTTTTTTCCAGAATCACTGTTCATAATTTTTTTGAACGTTTGGTTTGTATTACAATACAAATAAAAAATCGCAAAGAACACTAACCTGAAGGATCCCATCTACCACCATGTTTTATTAATACTAAAAAAAGGCCGTCCAGAAAATAAAGATTATTGAATAAAAACGAATATGAATTAGATGAGAGTGACAAGATTTCTGGAAAAAAATAGAAGAGAGAATCATGAAAGAAAATGGATGAAATCAGAATTTTTAATTAATTTTAACAAACTAGAGTGAAATAAGGAAACTAAATAGTCTTAATTAGTTTGAATTTCCTTAATTTATGCTAATTAGTAATTATCTTCAACCAATTCAAATTTAATTAACCCACTTATTTCCGTTTTTTTATCTTTTTTTTTCAGAAACGAATTATTTTATTTTTTAATCTTTTTATTTTTTTCAAAACAAATTTTTACAATTATTTAAAAAAAGCTTTTTTTTTAAGAAACTGTTACCACCTAAATTTTTTTATTGTTACAACTTAAAAGTTTAATTCTACTGCTATAAGTTGAAAATATTAGTCTAATATATGTCATATATGAAATTTTTACAAAATATTTTCCTCAATATTGGGCTTATAAGTGGACTCTGAACAAGTTCTCAACATCGTAACTGGACATTTTGTGGAATGGGCTTAAATTATCTGACCAAGAAGGCTTATGATGGACCTCTAGTTTTAATAGGACTTTTAACCTATTTGACCGCTCTACCAAAAATTTACTGTCACTAGCCGATTATATTCTAATAATTATGTATAAAATATGAATGTTATATGTACATATACTAATATAAGAAATGTATATTTAGTCATCGTTATTCTAGTGGACGGCTATACAGTATAAAAATATAGTTTTAATATGCTCTACTGACCTCCGGTCATTATGGAAAAAATTTACAGATGCAAAACATCATATATTTAAATGTAAGTCTTGACAATCAGTAGTTGGCAAAAACATGAAGAAAAAAAAAATAACAAAAAATTGTAGAACTTAATTAAATGCCACATGTTTCATTCTCGATTTTCAGTGCCTGAGAATTTTAAAATTAATTTATTTTTATAAATTTCATAATGTCAAACTAGGTGTATAAAGTCAAATGATTAGGTGGAGATGTAAATTTGAGAATGATCTTGAGAGTTTGGGAAGAAAAATAAATTAATTAAGAAAAGTCTTACTTAACATTAACTATTCACCTCATTGTTACTTTTATTTTCACACGCTACTTATGAAATCATAAAAAGGAGAAATAATTTTACTAATTTATACCTTTTAAAACTTTTTTTTTGTTGTAAAATGACGAATAATCTTTGCATAATTATTTATAATAATGTAGACAACTAATAAAGCGGTGAAAGTCTCTCACATAATACGTGTTTGGTCTAATTGTAATAATTACTCTCCGCGCCCAAATGTGGAAGCTAAAAATGACGGTAGATCTAAATCTGGACCATGTGCTTCATAGATTAGGTTCTAGCTAATTAATTAGATATTAGACTTATGATTAGGAGGGGAAAAAAGTAAGAACATGACTAACCAAATCATTTGGATTAGATTATTTAATCAAAATGACAATTACTTAATTGTTAGAGTCAAAGATGCATCACTAAACAATGCAGAATAATTAAGGTATACAAAATAAACAAAACATTCAAATTTAGCCTCAACTCCAACATTAACATTGTGAGTTTACATTTAGACACCTCAACTCGTTTTCATTGTGTTATAAGTTGAACATTCTAGATTCTAAATACCTTCAAAATTTATGTGTAACGTCATCGTTGGGTGTCCACAACGGGGACGAGTTGGAGTGTTTCTTTGCTAGTTGAGACCAAGTTGAGGTGTACTCTGGACGTGCACTCTCAAAGTTGGACGGCTTATTTTTTAAATGAGGTCAGGTTTGAGTGTATGTTGTTAATTATTTGGTTGGCAAAGATGATTAGTTGCGTCAATTTTAAGCACTTTTTAGTTTTATACTGAAATCAGGTCCTTTAAAAGTTGTGTTATTTGCATCAAAACTCATATTCTTGAAGACATGGAAAGTGAAAAGTGTCAATGTTCACAATATTTACAATATAAGTATAATGAGAAAAGTCCCAAGACCTGGCCTGAATTGGTTGGACTTTTAGGTGATGAAGCTGCAAAGGTGATTCAAGCAGAGATTCCGAATTTACAAATCATCCAAATCATCCATCCGCCATGGGCATTGACTCAAGATTTACGTGACTCAAGAGTTCGGATTCTTGTTGATCGTTTCAACAGAGTCAGTATGCCTCCAAGCATCGGTTGATCATCTGCGATTTGATTTCCTTTTAGTCCAAATGAATGTGTGTTGTTGTGATTGTGGATTGTGATGAGATAGAATACTTGTTTTCTCTTTGAGTACTTTGTTTTGAATTTTACCTAAACAGTTTGATTGTATGTACTGTGTTACTGTGTTAATTTGTGTTTGTAACTTGTAAGGATTGTGTTTCTATGTATTGGACACGTAATTTTCTTTCTGCGTAATGTCATATGGAGAGGCCCTGGTGATGGGCCGGGTTAAAGTCATGGTTGAACATGACGCTTGTTTGATTAGCTTGTTTGAGAAATAAAGTTACATTTTGACAATGATGATAAGCAATTAGGAAAACTGGAAAAAAGTAAATCAATAAACAGTATTTGTATTAAAAAAATGTGATTTCTTTTCCACAATCCAATGAATCCTAGCTAATATGTGACATGTTCTAACTACATAAAAAATTTCAACAGTTTTTTTTTGTTTCAAGAACAACAAATCACGATTCGCTCCATTGTCGATTCTCACACTTGCAAATGCAACTCAATCCGACTAAAATATCAGCAATGGCAGCTTCCGTCTTCTCTTTATCCGAATAATGCAATGTTTGCAGCAACAACACAGAAGGCTTGATATCGAACTTTGTCTTCTCTAAACTCCTTTCAAGCTGCCAATTGATAGTGTTATGAGCCATTGGCGCTAACCATTCCATAATTTGATTCAATGCATCCCTCCACCCCTCAGCCAACGACTCGTCCTCATCCATACACTTCAAATTCTTGCTCAATTTCGATCTCACTGTTATCTTCAGGTTCCCTGGCAACATTTGGTACAAATTTTCTCGTGAATTAAGGTCTACGGATTCAGATGGATTCAAATACTTTTCTACTAATGTGATCACATTAGCATAACGCAACGCTAGCCCTGCACCTCCTACAGTTAAAGGCCCTGCTGCGTGAAACACCCTGTTGTTTTTCGCCAACTTATCCGCCCCAAAACCTTCATCTTCACATAGGAAAAATATCGATTTTCTGCTGTAAAATCGAACCAGAGTTGGCTTAGACGTCATGGGGATTGGTCCAGACCGCGAAATGATCTGTTCCCTAATTGGCTCAATCAGACAATTTTCAGGCTGGAATTTGAGAATCTCTTTCTGCTGAGATGAACGCATATTACGCAACGATAGTGAAGGAAGAATGGGTATGTAAGGTCCAAACACAACGCAAATACGAGCATATATTATGCAGACGATTCGCGCCATGTGACCAACACTTTTATCAAATGTTTGATTCCATAAAGATTTTTCTCTAAATTGACGAACTTGTTTCCTCTGTTGTTCAATTTTCTGATTAAACATATCTAAATTCACTTTCTGCAATTGCCCTGATGCTTTTCGTTCCTTCCATTGTTTCATTTTCCGTTCTGATACTTCCAATTCTGCTAAATTCTCCAACGCCGCGTACAATCCAGATGTAGCATTAATCAATTTCTCCATTTTAAAAACTCGTTTCTCAATATCTTTCGATCCGTATTCCAATTTTCCAAAATCAATAATCCCTAACTTCAAATCTGTATACACAAGATCAAATCGATTTAGGCCAAAATCAGAGCATTTATGGCCTAATCTAGCTACAGCTGCTGCGGCTTTATCAAGATCTTCAAGCCTCTCAGCACACGCGAGGCTTAACAGAAATCCTTCGTCTTTCGAATTCAAATACGATACCCCACCTAACTTCATCTCTGTTTTGAGATTTGAAATCTCAGACTTGGATAGAGATTTGTATAAACAGAGCAATCTTGACATGATTTTCGCCGTCTCAAATGATAAAATCCCCATTTTGTTGATATCATCTCCTGTTTTTGAGCTCTTATTGTTGTCTGAACTGCGCCAACCCATTTTCGCGAAACCAACCATTGAAAGATAGATTGGTAGAAATAGATAGATATAGATAGATAGATAGATAAATAGATAAAGGGTATGTTAATATGTTATAGCAGCAATTTTTGTGTTTTTTTTTTTTGTGTATTGATAAAAAAAATGGTGGAAGCTGCAAGAATGTTGAGTATGGAAATGGAGGATATATAAGTATATATATATATTGAGGAGGAGGAAGAGGGGGAAGAGAAGCAACTTCGAATGATCTTCATGGGGTGGGTATTGGATTATGTTGACGCGGTAAGACGATTTGGACATCTATATTTTTTAAAATATTTTTTGGTCTGTGTGGCGGAGCCTGAAATTTAAATGGGGGTTAAAAAACCGGGTTGGATATTTGATTTTAGAATTGAAAAAATTATGATGTAAATAAGTTTGGATATTCAAAGTGAGGTTTGGATTAATTTGGCTATGTTGGATTTTCGGTTATGACTTTTGAGTTTTTTTTAATAGAAGTAAAATGATTAAAAATCTCAATTCACATGCGTTGTGTTTATCTGTTCAACTTTAGAATGATTTAAGTGTCTATTTGTGCATATCTAAAGTTAGAAGACATATACATCAGTTAAGACTAAGTTAAATGATATATTTATGAATTATGCCAACGTATAACAAGGATTGAGATCCATCTATCACCTATGCCGTGTAATTTGATATTAAACTTAGTATTATAAGGGCAACCTACAAAAATCTCACTAGTTTAAAAACCAATTACTTATATATATATACACGCTAGTTTACAATATTACGAATCTTATTAGATTATGCATCCAAATACTTCTAGATACATGTATCTCGGGATACATGGGGGTAAATTAGGTAAAATATATTCTAGATACACTGCATTCGAGTGAATTCACATATATCTGGGATACATAAACAAATTTCGTTTGCCCTATTCACCGCCTCCTTTGCGTATCTGGTATCCCATAAGCCATTTACATGCGAATTATACCAAATACATAGTGTAATTTGTGTATATCTAAAATCATAAATAAATCTTGCTCATCTAGTATATACAATAATTTTTAAAATCTTGTTTTACCTAGTATAATTTTCAAGAAGAAGGGTTCAATCATTGAAGATGGATGATATTTGGATTGACTTGTTTTATTGTACTTTTTCTGCATTTGTTAAGGGATGGATGCCACGTATGAGGAATCTGGTTTTATCAGTTAAGAAGCAGTTGGATTTGGTGATTTTTTTTTTACTTGGTCTTAAATTTGGTGCAATATTATACACTTTCTAGGCTCATTCCAACTTGGTAGATATAGTTAACTTAGAATTGGCTATACAATGATTTATATTATATTTATTTTTTATTTGAAACATAATTACAACTAAGTTACTTTAACTAAGTTGTTTAGGACAGAGTCAGGGGTCACAAGAGATTCATATACAAAATTATTATTTATTTTAGATATATATAAATATATATACTGAATTAAAGTTATTTTAATATAGTTTAAATGTGTAATACTCGAGTGTTTAAATTAAATTCATAGATACATAATATAGTTTATATATATATACATTTTTAACAATAACCATGGTTAATTAATTCATGTATTCACTTTATTAAATCATTGAATCATATGCTAACTTAAATTTGTTCCGTAAATTAACTATAAACACATGATATATAATTATATATCCTTTTCAATTTATATTGCTTGGTTTGATTATACACGGAATTTCAGTAAGAGATATAATGTTACTGCATCAGTGATAAGGTAAGGCCTAGCCACCCTTGCTTATACTTATTCCTATTGAGATTTTTTAATTCTAATAAAATGGCCGCTAGACACTTTGTCTAGTGGTAAATTTGCCAGAAAAAAAAAAGGATCATATTGTCATAATATTTGTTTGACTATATATAGAAACTTATCATCAAAGGTGCATTTAGTTTGAAAGAAAATGTTTTCATGAAAAATATTTTCCTAAAAAAATACTTTCTTCGAAAATACATGAATATTCTTACTTTTTTTTTTATATATATATAATAGTAAGTAAGTAAAAAAAATATTATTTTAAAAATATTTATAAATAATTTAAAAAATATATTATAAGAGTAAAGTGCAATAGAAAGGAGTTAAAATGACAGGATGAGGTGGTCTAAACTGACCAGACCAAACCAGCTTGAATTAATTGAATTAACAGGATGAGGTGGTCTAACCTGACCAGACCAAACCAGCTTGAATTAATTGAATTAATCAAATAAATATACAATTAATTAATATGAATAGTTCTCTGTTGCATTATCCAATTTGATGTCTGCTTACGTTTTAGTTAATTTTTTCTCTTTTATGTATCTTGTAAGTTTTAAATAAACATTCCATCGTTTTCGTTAAGTGGCCTTATTTTAGTTTTATTTCTTTTTAAATTAAAAATAACTTAACTTAACCATCTTATTTTATCATTATTGACACAACCCTTATAAACAGGCACACAAATGTTCCAAAAATCAAAAGCTTCTAAAGTCATATATTTATAGGCTATAGCTATATATTAAAAAAAAAGAAGAGTTTGAGTCACTAAAATTTATGTTATATGGGGTATGAAAAAAGGGTCTAACCATAAGAGATTATATGTTATGCAGATGTTATTATCATGATAGGTTAGCCATATGTTTAAAGAGTCTTTTGGGTTTATTTTTTCTAAAATCTTGTGCTCAATTATATAAGTTAACATAAAATTGAAATGATGAAAGTAGTAAAATGTTCTCCTTCTATTTCAGTTTATGGAATACACTTTCATTTTTAATATGTATATGTGTTTCTAAAAGAATAAAACACTTATAAATTTGAATATATAATTAACTTCAAGAAGCCGTAAGTTTATTTTATCTTTTGGAACTCCTAGGAAAATCTGCAATCGTTAATTCTTCGGATGCACACTCGATAAACCAGTTTATGTGTAATATCTCGCATACATCACGTGAGATGAGATGTAAACTGTATTAGGCAAATTTGGTGCGATGAACTCAATTGAAAAAAAACGTTGACACAGAAAATTGATCTTTAACATCTCTTATGATATTGTCAATTGCACAAGCTCAACCACCATTAGTCCATTACGAATAAAGACTTGATGATGCGTTCTCTTTCTCAAAATTGATTTTTAGAGGCACTGATCTAACTCTATATAATTTGTATTTTTTTACTTAATTAGTAATAAATTTCAGTAAAAGGAATAAAAAATGATAACTTGATTGAGCATTCAAACATGTAATAGTGCAAGTCAAATTATAGGGTGTGTTTGGTATGAAGGAAAATGTTTTCCTAGAAAATGTTTTCCTGGAAAACAAGTTGATTTTTGACTTATTTTCTCATGTTTGGTTGGTGAGTAGAAAATATTTTCCGGAAAATTTTTTTAGTGTTTGATTTATGAATGAAAAATATTTTTGAGAAATATCTTTTATTTTTACTAGAGTAGAAAATAATTTTTGAAATTGAAAATAGTTTTTAAAAACAAACTTAATTTTTTTTTGGGGGGTGGGGGTGGTAGGGAGTGGGTGAGGGGGGGGGGTCGAGGGTAGGGGTGAAAAATTGAAATTTTGAAGTTGAAAAAATATTTTTGAAAAACAAACTTAAATTTTTTTTTTTTGGGGGGGGGGGGCTGGTAAGGGGGTGGGTGGGTGGGGGTCGAGGGTAGGGGTGAAAAAATGAAATTTTGAAATTGAAAATATTTTTAAAAAACAAACTTGAAATTTTTTATTTTTTTTTGGGGAGGGGGGTGGGGGGCTGGTAGGGGGCGGGTGGGTGGGGGTTCTAGGGGTGAAAAAATGAAATTTTGAAATTAAAATTATTTTTTAAAAAAAAACTTAAATTTTTTGTGGGGGGAGGGGGGCTGGTGGGGGTGGGGGTCAAAGGTAGGATAAAAAAATGAATTTTTGAAGTTGAGAATATTTTTTAAAAACAAACTTAGTTTTATTTTTTTTGGGGGGGGGGGGTGTTAGGGGTGGGTGGGTGGGGGGCTGGGTAGGAGGTGGGTAGGGGGTAAAATAATAAAAAATTGAAATTAGAAATATCTTTTAAAAACAATTTTTAATATTTTTTTGGGAGGGGGTGGGGGTAGGGGTGAGGGTGGGGTAAAAAAATTGAATTTAAAAACAAGCTTTGGGTAAAAAAATTGAATTTAAAAACAAGCTTTAAATTATTTTTTTTTATTTTTTTTTGGGGGGGGGGGGGGGAGGGTTGGTTGGGGGTGGTTTGAGGGAAGGGACAAAATAAATTAATTTTTTCAACAAAAATATAATTGTAATTTGAAGTTGGAAGAGAGTTTTGGAAAATGTTTTCCTTAAGTTTAGAAGGGAAGTCATTTTCCTTAAATTTGAGGAAAATGAGTTGATTTGGAAAACATTTAGCCCAACCAAACATGAGAAAATTGGAAAATGTTTTCCTTCATACCAAACACACCCATAATGTCTACCCTGTATGGAAATCCTCATGTATATTTTTACCAGTCTATAATCACACATATATATGGGCGAAGTGAAGCTAGAGTATCAGTTACGAATTTGATAGAATATAATAATTTTGACCAAAATTCTATAATTACCTGATTAAAAATTAACTTAATATATATAAATAATTTATTTAAAATTCAAATAATCTATAATTTTTAAAATTCAGAACTCATACGCTTAAAATTTTGAATCCACGACTGCATGTACATAAAGAGTAAAACTGAAAACGGATGACTCAATGTGAAAACTTAAAACATACAGATGGACAAATACAATTGTATAATCAGTGTGAACGTAAGTCAATGTTTTATTATTGAGTAGGGATTTTACAATTTTCTTAGTTATTAAGTATTGTCTAATAAGATAATTATCGACATGTCAACTCTAAAACTAATTGAATTAATTATTAGATTAGTTGGACTAACGATCTATACCAATGCTATCGTGTACAATTAACTTTCATGATAATCATATACCATGGCATGAATCACCGATTATTATTTTTACGAATTTTGTGTTGATCACAGATTAATTATATAAATGATCATTG